CTGCCCACAGGGGGGGATTTAAAATGACAACTTTTTCACAAAAAATTAACTTTTTCAACTTAACTTTTGAAAATGTTCCGGAAGGTCTGACACTTTTATATATATCTTAAATTAAAGCTAATGTAATGTACTTTAATTTGAAAAAAAAAAATTTGACCTCTGGACTTGTCTTCATGGTGAAAACGGCTACCGAATGCTATTTTTGTATTTATTTATATATAGATAAAAATTATGCTAGGTATATTATTTAGAGTTGAGCAGGAGATATTTTTATGGTTTTTGAAATTAAGGCATCCACTAATTCAAATCACTTGTAACACCTGTAGTGATGTATGTATTATTTATGCTATGTAAATTTTTCTTAAGAAGAAAAAAATTATCATGGAGTATTTCCTATTCTAAATAAAACATATAAACAAGGAAGGCAGTAAAATTATTAGGAAATTTAATACATAACAACGATAATAGTTATTGGTTTCAACTTATAATCCCGTTCTATAAAAAGTTGATAGTATAATGTTGGATCGAAACGGTGATTGGTCGATTGGCTCAGGGCTGTAAATTAAAATGTTTATTCATAAAAATAACAAAGAAAATTTTTTATATTTTTGGATTGTAAGTAGAAAAACAACAACTAATAAAATTAAAAGTATTAATGCGATAAAAATAAAACGAAAAATATTTTATTTATACAGATAGATTTATCTAAATGGGTGTAGTTTCACGTAATATAGTTTTCAAATACTATATATATATACGTAATATAGTTTCCTTAATTAATTAGATGAGATACAATTTTAGTATTTTTTATCTAGTTATCGTATATAGATAAATATATTTAAGCCGCTCAATAATGGTATTTTAAAGAATTTTTTTATTGTAATAATGATTATTTTTTATCATACATACTAATAAATTTGATGCCATACAAATTTTACCAATAGTTTTTATTTTGTTTTCTGATTCATTAATTCGTTATTNTAAATTTGATGCCATACAAATTTTACCAATAGTTTTTATTTTGTTTTCTGATTCATTAATTCGTTATTTTGTATTAAAGAAATAGAAAATATATATTAATAATTACATATTTTATAGAGTAAATAATAAAACACAAGTATCGACACTTAAATATCTACACAAAGTCTCATAATAATGGTATGATGAGGTAGTAAATAAATAAATACTTGGCTAAAACTTAAAGATAAAAATTTTAATTATTTTTAATGATTTTGATATCCTATCAGTTTTAAATTCTATTGAAAGTAAGTAAACATACATAATTGATATAATAGTTAATTCACTAAATGTCTTATAGTCACTTTAAATTCATTATTTTTTATATTTTTGACGGTGTAATAATGACAGTTTAAAAATATTATTTTTTCGATGTATCGTCTGGATATAAAGTTTAAAATAGTATAAATTTATAAAATATAAATTGAATATTAAATTTATATATTTTTTATTATGAATATTAGTAATGTCTAAAAAATTTATTCGTAAATTGAATTAGTCTAGTTTTATATAAATATATATGAAATATTCGTCAATTCATTTTATAAATTTCTTAGTGAAAATGTTGCCAAAAGGTTTAATGAACCAAGTTTTTGCTACAATATCAGGTAATAATTATTAGAATCCAAGCTTATAAAGTTTAGAAAATATAGAATACAATATAATGTGTAATATTTCATATTTATTTTAATGTTTTGTTATTAATATGTGTAATAATAGGATTTTAGTTATCGAAAATGTTATTCGAAATACATTATTTCTTAAGTTTTACGTTTATAATTGAGTCAATATTTTATTAAAAAACATATATAGATATAATATAATCTTTTACTATTAAATAAGTTCATTTAATTTATAAAACAACTTTTTTATTTTAAAATAGGGATATTTTGTTATTTATGATTGTTTTTATAAAGGTTAAAAAATGCCTTTTTTTAGTTTTAGTATCCAACAATTTTAAAATTACATTAAAAATATTAATATAAACTATAAACATGTTTAACTTAAATAGCCATAAAAAATATTTTTTAAAAATTTTGGTTACATATTTCGGAAACTATGTTATCATTATCAATGCTAATAACTTACTGATACTCCGTCTGAAAAAACTCTCTTATAGACCACTAGTAAACTTATCACCTAGTGACGTTATCACTAAATAATATTACCACAATTTGTCAGTTTACAAAAGTTTAATATTGAATTTTCTAGTATGTCAAGATCCCAATTAATTAAATTGTTCTTATTATTAAACATTTCTATTGCCTCTCTTATATTAAGTTATATGTAATTATTTACGTTTTAATTAAATTTTTAGGATTAATGGAGTGATTCTTTGCAATGTTTTTAAATCTGACCCCTTAATTTCTTTTTATTTGTCTTGCGTAACATTTTTTACTACTTTCACATTGCATTTTATAAATGCTCGATTTTCCCTCTACAACATTATCTATAAGGTTACTTAATAAATCTTTTAAATTATTACTTTTAGATGATATTAGATAATACTAAAATTCTTAAAAAATTTAACCAATCCATTTGAGACTCCCGGATAATATAAAATGGACAATGTAATTACCTTTTTTTTCTATTTTACTTTTAATCCTCCATGCTATTTAGTGAACTAACTGTCCTCTGCTCTTTATTCAACTTTAGTGTTCGGATTTTTTTTTTGTTTTTTTGAGAAAATTAAAAACAAATCCCAACTCAACACTCTTTTCTTGCTAAGTCTTAATCATTAAAATCAACACATTTAATAATGTAATTATTATAATTATAACATTAAAAAATTATGTATTTCGCAAAAAAATCCAATTGGGCCCTTGTTCTAATGAAATATTTAATTATTACATTTATTTTTCTGTTCAATTTATTGAAAGTATGCTAAATTTATTTGTAATTATTTTTTAGCGTCTTTTTCAATATTTATTGCGGGTAGTTGGGTAGGATGGCCTTCTGCAACACACAAAAGCTTTGAAAATCACCAGACAGGAGTGGAAATAAATCACACTCAATTGTCTTGGGTTGTATCGTGTATGGATTTAGGTAATTTCTTTATTCCACTTCCAGCTGGATATTTAATGGATAGATTTGGAAGAAAGAATACAGTAATATTTTTAGGACCTTTGTACATCACCTCGTGGACATTGACGTGGTTATTTGATAATGTATGGGCATTATATATAGCAAGATTATTAGGTGGTGCAGGAAAAGGAATTTCGTATACAGTGGTCCCAATATTTCTTGGAGAAATAGCAGAAGTGAAAATACGAGGTGCTTTAAGTACAATTTTTGCCATTCAATTGTCTTTTGGATTATTTTTTGAACTTGTATTTAGTAATATCGTTAATTACAGAACTCTGAACATGATTTCTACAATAATTCCAATAATTTTTTTTTTAACGTTTATTTGGGTGCCCGAATCTCCATTTTATTTATTGAAGAAAAATCGTCGAGATGAAGCTGCTAAATGTCTTCGATGGTATAGAGGAGGTGAAGACTCAGAGTTACAAAAAATGGAACTCAACGTTCAAGAAGATATGAAAAACAAAGGAACGTACAAAGAACTTTTTACTAATCCAAAAAATTTAAGAGTAATTTGTATCATAATAATTGCTTGTTTTTCACAGAGAGCAGGAGGGATAAGTAATCTTATCGCATTTGGAATCTATACCCTACCTAAAAGTCCTCCTTTATTTGACAGTACAATTTACATGATAATTTTTGGTGCCTTTCAAGTTATTTTTGGGTTTGTTGGGATGTCTTTAGTTGATGTTTTAGGTCGAAAACCACTACTAATAATATCTCAAGTATCACTAGGGCTCATTACTTTTGTTCATGGTTTATATTTTTTTTTTAAAACATGTATGCATGTGAATGTTTCTGAATTTATCTGGGTTCCGTGTTTATGTTTAGAGTTATTTTCAATCATGTTTAGTGTAGGAATAGGATTTATTCCAGTAGTTTTATTAGGAGAAATGCTTCCAGTTAATGTAAGAGCACATGGCTCTGCTGTTATGTCCATGACTCTTGCTTTTTTTTCATTTTTAGCTAACAAGATATTTTTAGGTATTACAGATAAGTTTGGTTGTTATGTTATGTTTTGGATTTATTCAATGGTCAATTTAACTTCCGCGTTTCTTATTTACAAAATGGCATTTGAGACAAAAGGTAAAACATTTTCGGAAATTCAAGAAATTTTAGAATTGCGTATAAAACCAAAAAAAAAACAACAATCAATATATTCGTGTAAAACATGAACTTATTTATGATGAGAGTACTCGCAAAAATGTTGTTTACTTATATACATATTTTATAGCTATTAAATTTAGTAATTTAAAATTTTCAGATTGTTTGAAGTATATTTATATTGCATTTTCTTAATACGGAAAATAAAAGATTTCAATTCAGTTTCATATTTTTATATTAAATTATTAAACATTGACATTATGTTTGAAATATTTAATTAAACTTTATTTTTGTTGCTGATAAATTATTTTTGACACAATTATTTTTTTTTTTTAACTAAGTTTCATTGGTCTATCTTGAAATCGAGTATTTTGATGTTAAAAAGAAAACAGTTGTTGATTTGTATTATGTCTATCAGATTTACATAAAATTGTTAATGTGATAAAATTTCTTAATATCATTATCAAGTAAGTGGCTAAAATTGCCATGATAATTTTTATATTATGATACTAGAAAAAAAATTGTTTAATAGGTAATATGAACAAAAAAAATAGTTTTAAAGACTAACAATAACCATTGTAAAATTTGAAATTATTGTTACATATATCATTTTTGTTAATAAAAATAATTATATCAATATTATTACTTTGTATTATTATACAAATTCGAAAAAAAAATTTTAAAAACTATAAATACATTTAAAAATAACTGTAGTGATAATTAATGTAAATAATAATGTTTAGAAGCTCAAAAAATGTATGTTTTTCATAATAATTTTTTATTTTACTCAATGTCTAATTAACTATTTGTAATTATTTTTAAGGTAAAAATTGTGCTATTATGAAATTAATAATTATACTTTGTAATTTTTGTTTTTACGCTTAATTAAAAATTGTAATGAAATATTGTGGTACTAACTCAAATTTATTTAAAAACACTTCGCTTAATCTTATAATTGTATTTTTATTATTTGATAAAAAACATAAAAGACATTATAGTATGTAGTAAACTTAATATATCTTTATTTAATTGCCTGTATCTTAAATACAAATAATTTAGAAAATAATAGTTATTATAGTATCGAATAATATCATAGTTATTATAAACAATAGTTGTAAATGCTTTTTAATTCATTAGATACAATTTATATATTTAACAAATATCACTTATTAAATATCTTAATAAATAATACAATAATTTTTCTTCATTTAAGTCATTATAAAATTATTCATGTAGAGTATGGTATTCACAAGTTTAAAAAAATAAAAAAAATTTTAATACATAAAAAATAACTAAATATTATATTTTTAAGGAACTGTACATTTTACTTATCACAAAGTGATAAAAATATTTATNCACTTTGCTGAAGGCCGTGGTTCTTAAAGAAGTCTTCTAAGAGTTTCGATGCAGTCCCGCGTGCGCCAAACCAGAGTCCATATTATATATATAGATTTTTTTTTATTGTTTTTTAAGCTTTCTTCTAACAAATTCTGAATTTCTGAAAATGTTTTTCCATTGGTTTCAATAGCCATTTTGTAGGCAAAATAAGCACAGATAAAATTGACAATTGAAAATAACCATAACATGACATAAAATCCACATTTATATGATATAATTAAAAATATTGCATTAGAAATAAATGAACTAAAAGCCAAAACTATTGACATAAAAGCTGAACCATGAGCTCGAACATTAACTGGTAGCATTTCTCCTAAAAATACAACTGGTATAAAACCAATACCTAAAGCATAAATTGAAGGAAATAGCTCTAAACAAACGTAAGGAATCCAATTATATGGTGTCATGTTAATATAATTTTGTAAGAAAAAGAATAATCCATCTACAAAAGTGACTAAGCCCAGTGATATTTCTGAAAATAGAAGCAGAGGTTTTCTCCCAATTCTATCTACTAATGCTAACCCAAAAAAGTTGACACCAGTTTTTAACACAGCAAATAAAATTATGTAATCTGATTTACGGCCAATTGGGACAGGCTCGGGTAGTGCTAATGTTGAGTATGCCATTAAACTACTAATACCACCAGCTCTTTGAGCAAAGCTAGCTGTAGAAATAATAACGATTGCTTTTAAATTTTTTGGGTTTTTAAAAAGTTCCCAATAGTTTCCTTTGTTTTTCATGTCATTTTGAACGTTTTCTTCCATTTCTTGTAATTCAGAGTCATTACCATTTCTGTACCATCTGAGGCATTTTGCAGCTTCGTCACGTCGTCCTTTTTTCAGTAAGTAATACGGCGATTCCGGTACCCAAATAAACATAATAAGAAATAGAGTTGGAATAATAGCAGTTATTAAGTTTAATGACTTAAATGACACGTACGGGCCGATTATAGCTTCAAATAAAAAACCACCAGCTAAATGTATAGCAAATACCGAACTTAATGCGCCTCGTATTTTCACTCCTGCTATTTCTCCAAGAAAAACTGGAACTACAGTATAAGAAATGCCTTTACCTAATCCTCCTAAAAATCTAGCAATATACAGTGACCATATATTGCCTACATAAGATGGGAGTATCCACGAAATTATGTATAATGGTCCTAAAAGAGATACAGTTTTTTTACGGCCAAAGAAATCCATCATGTAACCAGCAGGGATTGGACTTATTATATTACCCACATCCATGATAGATACAATCCAAGAAAATTCATTTACTGACACATTGAAATCAGTTTTGTGGTATAGTAACTTATCAGCTGTTGCAGAAGGCCATCCTAACCAACTACCAGCTATAAATATCGATATTGACGCTGAAAAAGAAGATAATTATTTAATTAAGTTAAATGTTATTATTTTTATGTCTTATTTTATATCAATTTAATGTCTTTATTTTAAAAATACAAAATGTCCCACCAAATTCTGACACACTTGAAAACTTTTTAAGCTAATATTTTGCGTTACTTTTTTTAATATAATGTTTATAGTTTTGGACTACATTATAAATTTATTTTTTATTATTTGTCTTTAATATGAAAAAAATTACATTTTTTTCAATTTTTAAAATTTCAAATAGAAATATTTTTGTAAAAATATTTGATGGGTTGATAACAATTTTAGGATAAGTGCTTATTGAATTACAATCATTTTATTACATTGAGTAGGTATGTAACGCGGGTGGGAATAGCTCATACTAGTGTATATTAATACGGATGCAGTGGCGTACATAGAAATTAAATTTGGGGGGGGGTTTGAAATTTAAAGAAAATTAGATGTGACACTGCCCATATTATTCGCTCACAAAAATTCCTTTTTTCGATTACTTTATTGTGGAAATATTTATAGTATGATATGATCTTTTTTAATGTTATTACTTATTATTTATCGTCCAAAATTATTGCTTAGCTTATAAATTTTGGGGGTGTCAACCCCCAAAGACCCCCCTTACGTACGCCAGTGTACGAATGTATACTCCACCTGTGTTATAACTCAAATATTAATAATAGAATCTTTAAAAGTGAATTTAATATAAATGGACCACGGAAATAATTAAATATTTCAATTTTATTTACCAGTAACTGTAGCAAATATCTGTTTCATAAGAGCGATATCAACCATTTTGAAAGTTTTGAATAGTTGATTTAAATATATGAGCTCTAAAAAAAAAATTATGTTTAGTCTTCTAAAATTTTAGAATATTTTAGAATCCGGATTTATGTATATTTATAAATTTTGTAAAGTTGTTCTTAACACATACACTAAAAATTTATATAATTGTTTTGAAAACTTAGTATTGTGTTCTAACTGGGTTACAGTATTGGGTAGATTAGAGAGTTCATTCCCTCTAAAAAGGAATAATATTTATATCCTTTTGTATATTTCAACAACAAAGTTACACAGACAATAAATGCATAAAAATCCAGACTCTAGATATAACAAATTGTATCTATTTTACTCAGGATAATATTTGAGGGGCAATCAGCTATTAAACGTCTATAAAGTCAATTTTCATTTTGAATATGTGTATTCTACAAATATTATCAACATAATATGTTGATAAAACAAATTGGATCTACGGCAGCCGTTTACATGCAGAAGATAAAGTGTCGGGACAAATTTTTTTTTTCATTTTGTAGTACATAAAATAAGCTTTAATTTGATATATGTTTAAAGGACGCAGTATTTCCGGAACATTTTCAAAAATTAAGTTGAAAAAGTTAATTTTTGTAAGAAAGTTGCTATTTTAAATCTCCCCTCAATGAGCAGGTTAAGTGTTAGAATTACAAAAAAAATATACCAAATGATAGGTGATGATATCATTCATCTATAAAAAAAAAAATTATGTTGATTTGTTTATTTTTGAAAAAGTTATGGAAGTTTTAAGAAAAAAATGTGAAAAAAAAGACAAAATTTACCGATTTTTAAATTTGTAATTTTTTTGGATATTTCCCCCATTTGCGGGGAACAAAGAAAAATTTTTCAATTTTTAAGGGTAATATCTTCAACTAGATACGATTTGTGATCTTTTGACGTATTGTTGAAAGAAATCGGTCTAGTGAGAGCTGAAAAAAAGTGGCAACAGACATAAAAAAAAAAAAACACATCATAGTAAAATTAATACCTTCTCAGCTTCGCATCGAAGCTAAAATTGAAAGTTGTTTAAAAAATAATATATTTTTTTCTTAAATCGTGGTTTTAATTAGAAAGTGATGTTGCAAACTTATTTAAAATATTTAAAGAGTGCTACTAAAAAATAATTATGCATACCCTGGCGCCAAAATCTCTAATACAGTCCCAATTGTAATTTTTATTTTTATTTTGAACATATTAAATTCTATTTTTACTACTGTTACTGATAGCACAACATTCTGTCTAATATACATCGATAGAGGTGTGCTAGAAGTATTATTTAAAGTAAATTATAAATAGTTTTTTCACCGAAAATATTAAACGTTATATTTTCTGTGGTTCGAACACCACGTCAGTAATTTTGTTAGGCTTATTTATAAATAAATGTTATATTATTATTTTATTCAAATTTTAGAACTACATTAATAATTGATATGATGTAAAAAATTTTAAATGTACGATGGAGAATTCAAGTAATACATTGATTATTTACAATAGTTACAAAAATAATTAAATATCAAAATGGTCACTCGAGTAATATCTATAGTACTATAATACATAATCTATTAGTTTTCAAATTTAGAATTATGTATTAGGTACCATTATTTTTTAAAAAAAATTTTATTATAATGGACTCATTATCAAATGTCAATATCTCAGATCAACATTAAGTAGTTAGATAGTAAGAATAATGTCTCAAATATTGTAAACTGTATCATAAAACAATAAATTCATTATAAATTACACAAAATATTAAATTAATGGTACTTACATTGTTTTTTCTGAAAACTAATTACTAAAAGTATTTTTTTAAAAAATAATTGATTTGATTGTTTTCATGATCATTTTACATAAAAAAAAATATATATATTGTATAATTATGAATATTATTGTTTATTTCAATGAATTATACAGTATATTTTGTAAAAATAATTAACTTTTGAAAAAATCAGTTTAAAATATGCAATGTATATCTAATCACCAAGATTGACACGTTCAAAGTATTTAATAGTATCAATATCTTGTATTTATATATTTAAGATTTTTTACTTATAAAAAGTAATGACCTCAATAGTTTAATTTTAGAAAGTAAATTAAGTTTGTCCCACTGATTCTGTAGTAACAATAATTTCTTTAGGAGAGAGTAATCTCTAATACAAAAATATATATTTTGTAATGTTTGTAAATATTAAACAGAATTGTTAATTTATTTTATAATTATAAATATCATCGTTGTCTCATAAGCATCTGAGAATTTATCAATAATTTCATAAATTGTTATTTACAATCAATATATAAAATACCATGTGACTACATGTTATGGTCCACATAAGAGGAAATCTTATCTGTTAATTACCTTATGTGATAATTTGTGATCTTAGCCGTAGTGTAAGTTGAGCTCTCATTTTGTTGTGTTATAATCTAAAACATTTTTTTAATTTATTAAGAAATTATTTTTTATCTACCTTTTATCACTATACGTTTGCGGAAAACTGCCAAAAAATAAACTTATTTAATTTAAAAAAACGGAATTTGTGAAAGATTACTTCTATAGCACATACAGGATTTATGAAGTATTTCCATTAGAGAAATTAAAATAATAAGTAGCACAGTATACTGTAAGTCCGCAGAATAGTGAGGACGCAGCATAGTTCAGTCAAGTATAGATAATATTTAACAGTGATGAACATATTTATTGTAAAAACGCACTAATACAAATTTATTAAATTATACATAATAATTTGCATATTTGTATTTTTACAATTTCACTCAAATATTAAATGCTTGTAAAATCATTTGTTTAATTGAGAATAAAATATTAAAAAAAGTTTTAACCAGTTTTCAAACCTTCCAAAGTTTTTTCAAAAATGAGTTAAAAAATTGTTTTTATGTGTCTAGGTGTTCTCTTTAAACTTTTCTTGTAATTAGATTCCTTATCAAATTTTCAAACAAATGATACATACGGTAGCGTAATTTTAAGATACTTTTTTAAATTTCTTAAATTTAGGAAGTTTTCAAAGTTTTGGGGCTGATTGATTCATTTAGATTAAAATCGTTTTCTTTTGACTTATTGATCATTCAAATAGGTCTAATGAGAGTAGGGAATTTTCACGGATTGTCATAAAAAAAAAATTAAACACCATCACAATACCAATACTTACTTAGATTAACTTCGATGTTAAAAATAAAATTTCGTTACATGTAATAAACCGAAAAGAAAAATGTAAGTGATAAATAAAAAGAGAGTGAGGTTTTGAGGAAATATTTGTATGGCTTGTGAAAGGGAATAAAATAATATAAAATAGTGTAAATTCTGAAATGAAGGTGTTAGTAATATACTAAAAGAAAATTAAAGGGCTGGTTCGTAGTTAGAATACAAAGTATAACGTAATAAATATACAGGGTGTTCAGTAAGTCAGGAAACGGGTTTCTATTGTTCTCATTGTTACAAACAATGAGAACAATAGAAACCCGTTTCCTGACTTACTGAACACCCTGTATAGTTGAATAATACAATACAAATATAATAATAATACAAAATAAGCAATGATAGTATATGGAAGAACAACACGTGTTTAAATATGGCAAAATATGTATAGTGTATATTGCTATAAATAAAGACGGGGTTAGACAAGTGAATAAACGGTGACTAAGCACATGAGGGTAATGATCAAATTAATAAAACAAATACAAACGTTTATGACAAACCAGTGGATTGATCTCGGGCTTAAACAATATTGAATAAATGATGTTAGATATCCCTTTACAAAACTTTATAACTTATCTTAGTGGTTTATTACGCAATAGATTATTTGTAATTTGAAATTAAATAAATAAATTAAATTTGTATTTACCTCGTATCCCATGTAATGAAACGATTACTTTAAACAATCCAATGCTAATTCTGAATTCACTCTGTGATTCACAGACTATACATTACGCGTTGAAGAGTCAATATGACTGTTAGAAAAACCATTTAATTCTAAATAATACGAAATCTTTACACATTATCTATGACTGTTTTTTTTTTTATGGAAAAGATTGTATACACCATATTTTTTCATATAAATATAATTTAATAACATACAGTTATTTCTTTTTGTTGAATGATTATGCTTTTAAGAGAATATATTTTAATGAGAGATCGACACCAATATTTTTTAAATCATCCTCTGGCCTGGCCAAAACAAGATTCAAAAATATTTATATCTATGTAAAAGATTTATCAAGGCGGTGTTGTGATGGCCCAATGTGTCCCGGCGCTATTGTCTTGAAAGGATGCGACACGGTAATCACCAAAACAAAAATGAAACACTGAAAATATATTTGAAAGTTTATTTGTGCTTTCTGCTAAATACATATAAGCTTATATTTTATCCTAATATACCTAACTTTAAAATAATCTTTAATTGCAACCTTTACTCGGTATGCCGGCGCGATGTTTGTTAAAACTAAGACATTAAACTCAGTGACTAGCTACCCAGTAAGTATAGAGTTGCAATACACTTAGTCCAATAAAATTACATCAATTTAAATCTGAAGTTTTTGTAACCTTTAGCTCACAATAAATATTTACCATCAAATAAATAATTAAAGTTAGTTTGGATAAATTATAAAAAATAAATAATTTTAATATGTTGAGGTTTAAAATATTAATTGACATTATTTTCCATGATAAGAGAAAAAATTATACATCACTGTTTAATTAACAAATAAAAGATTCGCCAAACAAAATGAACTTAAATCTATTCTAAGTTTTATTTAACTTGTCCAAAATAATTTAAAAAAAACTATCACATGGGAGTCGCAGCACAGTGGTGACGTGGCATTGTTGAGTCAAGTATAATGATATCTGATAGTGATTAAAACCACTATCAAAAATAAACGCTTCGATGCAAATCTTTAGATTGTGTTTAATTTTAAAAAATTGGTGGATTATTCCAAAAGCTACATGATCTGCTATTTCCTTATTAATATCCTGATTAAGATAAAGTATGTCGATTGAAAAAGGAATATAAATATTATTTCTCATAAAAAAATTGTGTTGATCCATACACATTTCAATTAGTTATAGCATTATAAAGTTAAAAATGTAAAAAATAAAATCGAGAATTTTTACATAAAAATAGCATTTAGTAACAATTTTCACAGTAAATACAAAATAAAGTCCAAAATTTTTATTTTTTCATAATTAAGTATATTACGTAAGCTTTAATTTAAGATATATATAAAAGTGTTAGTATTTCGGGATCACTTTCAAAAATTAGGTTCAAAAAGTTTTACTTTCTATATACATTTTTAAATTTTGAAACCCCTTGTATTAAGGGTAATAGTCCGATTAAAAAAAACAGTATGTCGAATAAAAGAGGTATATAAATATTATATCTCATAAAAAAATTGTAATGATCCTTTAATTTTTCAAAAAGTTATGTAAATATAAAGTTAAATATGTAAAATATAAAATCGAGAATTTTTACACAAAAACAGCATTTGGTAGCTATTTTCACCGTGTAGACAAAATAAAGTTCGAAATTTTTTTTTTCCATGATAAAGTATATTAAATTACCTTTAATTTAAGATATATATAAAAGTGTCAGTCTTTCCGTAACATTTTCAAAAGTTAAGTTGTAAGAATAAATTTTTTTTTGAAAAAGTTGCCTTTTGAATCCTCCTTGTGGGCAGATAAAGGGTCAAATTTATAAAAAAAATATATCAAATGATAGGTAAGTACCTTATGTATCTATATAAAAGAATTTACATCAATTTTGTCATTTTTAAAAAAGTTATGGCAATTTTAAGGAAAAAAAAATTGAAAAAATGTCGAAAATTAGCGATTTTTAAATTTGTAATTTCTTTGGAGATTTCTCTTATTTACGGAGAATGAGAGATATTTATTCAATTTTTGAGGATAATGTCTTCGACTAGATACGATTTTTGATCTTTTGATATATAGTTAAAAGAAATCGGTTCAATGAGAGCTGAAATAAAGTGGTAACAGACACAAAAAAAATTACATCATAGTAAAACTAATACCTTCTGAGTTTCGCATCGAAGCTAAAAGTCTCAGAGAGTAAAAATCTTGAGCAGAGTATTGTGGATTTTGTGTATTTTGAAATTACCGAAATTTTTATAGGAAAAAATGGGTTTTTATTATCAGAAGAGGGTAGTGTAACGATCCCTAGTGTGATCTTAGTAGCTGTAGATCTTAATTTGATGTTAAATGCGATTGACTGGACTTAATTAAGAAACAACATATAAGAGGATTTAATAAAAATCCATACAATAGTCAGTTTTAGTTCCTTAGTTAATTTGTTATTTTGTGTTTTAAAAAGAAGGGAACCCTGTTTTGGTGATCTTGTAAATTACGAATATGTAACATACATAAAACACAGTTAAGTTTATTTTTTGTGCACCATTTCAAAAGCCGATACTATTATTGTGTATTAAGTATATAAAATTATACTAGAATAACCCGTTCTAAAAAAATATTGATAAATTTAATATTTAATTATTATTATTATTATACAAACACTCCAATAATTATAAACACGTATTTTATTAAATTAATAGATAAGTTTTATTATTGAATTAGCTACACTGAACGCAAATTAATTTCATTTATATAGTAAATATGTTGTGAGAGTGTGGTGCTTAATTAGTTTTATAACATTATTTGAATATTCATTTCATTAAATAGATTTTAGTTGTATATGACTCTGTATCGATTTTTTTTTTAACATTTCGTTGGTTTGTTATAAAACTAAATTAACAGGTAGTCAGTTTTGTAAATGTACCCGTTGATCTAAAATTAAAATATTTAACGTATTTGATTTTCATTATTGGATTAAAGCTTCAATTTCTATTTGTACGTTATGACACATATGGAGAAAAATTGTTTAACATATTTTTTAACCATAAATTTTTGAAAAATGAATAAATTAAAAACACATTTTTTTAATTATCTCTAATTCCCTCTTTATAAGACGTACTTTTTTTTGAAAATTGGATCTTTTACGTATTTAAAATAGTAACTTGTGTTTTTTTTTAACTTTTGAAAAAGTATAAAATCTTTAATAAAGTTAAATATTTACTGGAAATTTCATTTAAATCCTAGTTATTTATATATATGTGGCATATTTAACCCCTTTCTGCATAAGGTCCCATAAATGGCACAAATTAGTTTTTCTCATATATCTCGTTTAATATTTATCCGTTTACGTTATTTCATGCATGGCTGAAGTCGTCACAAAAAACCAAACAAATTTGTTATGACTCTGTCATCTAGCGGTAAATGTGTATACTGTAATTTAATAAAAATCGAATAAAATATTTGATACGGCATTATTAACTTTCGTGCGTTTTCAGAGTTTGATAACATGATTTTTGTAACATTGATTATTAAACAGAAAAATACAAGTCAGTTAGATTTTTTCTGCAGATTTCAAAAAATGTAAGTACATCTTTGTAGCTTAAATAGTTTTTAAAATAAATCGAAATTGAAGTTAGTGACATATATGGCACTACGCGTAATAAAAGTTCAGATAATCTGTGTCATATTTGGTACAACATACACAAAAAGAATTGTTTTAAAATTTTTTTTTATAAATATGAGAAACTAAATAAATTTAGTAATCAAAGACTATTTACCGACTAGAAATGTGATGTTTATTTTTATATCTTTTTGCCTAATTAAATATTAATTGTTATTACTTGGGCTACTAAGAGATTTTAACTGTTAATTAATTGTTTATTTTTATAAATATAAGAAACTAAATCAATTTTGTAATCAAAGACTGTTTACCGACAAGAAAAGTGATATACGAAGTAAAAAATATAGTATATTATAATAATGTGAGTATTATTTTATAACTGCATAAGATCCAAATATGGCACATAAATAGTTTTGGTGAACATTGTTCAATTTATGGCACACATTAGACTTTAGGGTTTTTAGGGTCAAAAATGGTAAAAAAAACTTTCATGTCACTATAACACCAAATCTAGATAAATATTTTTTTTTGAGAAAAATAATTCATGCAGAAAGGGGTTAAAATTAATAAATTTTTAAGTGATAACTTTATTAAAAATTTCCTACATATCTGTATTTAACCTACCAAAATTGTATTTCTATAAATATTCAAAGTTGTCCAATAAAAAAAAAAAAGTAAGTAGAAAAATAATATTAAAAATTAGTGATTATTAAAATATAACAAATTTAAAAATGTTTTGATATCATTTTATGGCTTAAATTAGGTTGAGATATAAGGATCACAAAAAAATAAATGCATAAAGTATAAATTTTTATAGAACATTTTTAATAACATCCATAAAGTTGTAATAAACAATACCATAAATTATTAACTGACAAATTTCGAAGAAGTAAGTACTAGAATAATACATTAACAACAATTTTCTATAATGAGCAAAATAATTTCATTACTATATCCAATACTCACATTATTTTAGTGCATTGATATTAAATTGAGATCTCAAATCAATGCTGTGTTTTGTAAGTACAACAATAATTTTACAGATTTCAGAATAAAGTGTGTTAAATATTTTAGTTATGCATTAATAACATAATTTGAATTTTAAATTAATTATGTTCTGAAGAGAAAAAAATTGATTTTATGTTCTTAGTACTATATATTTGGCACATAAAATTTAACAGTAATAATAACAATAATAAATTAAAATGTTCTAAGGACTTATTAAGTGTCATCATATTATTTAGAATATTACATTATGTTTAAAAAAAAATGAATAATGCTAAAACTTAATAATAATGGAGTATGATACAGATAAATTTTGTACTATAAAATACAGTAGTTATTTAGTATAAATTAAACTTAATTGCAATAATTAAATCTTTCATTGAGTGAATAAATGTAATTAAATAAATTTAAAAAGTTTTTTGAGAAAGACAAATTTTTATTGTGTAACTAGTTAAGGTAATAAATAACTGAAGCATATAATATAAATTCATAAATAGTAATATTTAAAATATGTATCAACTTCCGAAAACGATATGTTAATTTTAAGAAAATTCGACAAATAGCTTATTTTTGGTTGATTGGTATAGGTAACATTGAGTACATAAATATACATATTTTACACTAAAAGATCTATAAATAATAGATTTATAATAAAATTTCAATATTTTCAACAATTATTTACAAACGTGTGTTTTTTTTTAATTAATTAATTAATTAATTAATTGGCTTCAAATTAATTCTTTTCAAGTCACTCTATTGTCAGAACGAGAAAAAAATGTATTAGTTATTAAAAATTAATTATTTTTTTCTAGTATTGGTAGTAAATTTTCTTTTTGTAATTTATATATTATATCGAGTGTTCAATAAGTAAGGAAATGGGTTTATATTGCTCTCATCGTTTGTAACAACTGACCTGTTTCCTTTCATACTGAATGTTCTGTATACTGTTTATTATTTTACATAATAATATTAATATAATTCCTGTATAAATTGTTTAATTAATCATTATTATATTTTAATAATTGACAAAATTGTTATTGAAGCCCTAAAATAAAAAAACACGCATAAAAATAAATTACTTAATTTAATGGTATTTGTCATGTGTAATATGTCTATTTTATAATTATATTACACCCCTATAAATTATATTTTATTGATTCATATGTTAAGATTAGTGTTTATTATGTTTGATTGTCATTTGAAAAATAAATTGAATTATATGTAACCTTAAAATTTATTTAGCATGTATACTTAATTAAGAAATCTTTATTTATATAATAATTATACAGAGAATAATTAATTTATATAATAAAAAAAATTTAACAATTATTGTACATAAAGTATTTTTAAATATTTTATACAACCATGAATTAACAAGAAAAATTTCCAAATAAAAATTATAAACTGACATTTTTAACACTGCTTAAAGTTTTTTATAGGTTGATTTATCCCAACAACAGTTTGATGTTATAATATACAATGAGAAACAAGAAGATATAGAAAAAGATCTAATTAAAAATAATTAGTTATTATCACACAAGTTAATCACCATTTAAGTTATTATACCATAATTTACAACAAGATTATAATTATATAATTTATGAATAGTCACTGAATAAATGCACATAATGTATGTATTATTTTGGTAATAAAGAACCTTAACTATTGCAAGTGAAGCATTTGTCATAATGAGTAGTTCTAATAATAGGTACATAATGCATTACTCAAACTGTCATTGATTATATAATAAATCTTAAGTTACAATTCGAATTTAGCTGTAACACTGAATTGATTTTATAAATATTATATATATTTTTTCAATGAACTTCTATATATTACAATTAGTTAATGTATTTTATTCATTTTGATAATAAAGTTAATTACTTTTTGCGCAAAATTAATTTTCTAAAGCTAATATAAAGTAAATTTTTAAGCGAGTATAAGAAGAGAAATTAAGTTAGATAAATTAAGTTTTTAATAAATTATTAAAATAATATTCAATTAAAATTACATGTTAGTACAAAATGTACTAATAAATGAGAGCCATTCTCATAATTCAAAAAATTAATTTGATTTAATAATATTTTTATCTGAGATAAATTATTAACTTTTATTGATTGTACTTTTGATGGTAAGGAAATTAATTTAAGTATTAAAAATAATTAAAACATTTTATTACTAAATTGCCTTCCAAATTTATTTATTTATTTAGAAATACTGGAAAAACAAAATCTTCTACATATGATTAAAATACTTATCGAATTTTATAGAAAAAAATGTTGTTTCATATATATTTGTATGAAGCATAAAAACAATAATTTATATTGTTTCTTGTAAACGTGTTTGAGCAACTCGATCTATTTATAATTGCTAATAATATAGCCCATTTGGAGAATGGGCATGTCAATATTATACAAAATTCTATATATTAGCTATTTAGAATGTCAATGAACTTTTTAGGAAGTAGTAATATTTAGTATATAGTATCACTTTTTTGAGTTATGAACAACTATTAAAGAAAAACATGACTTGTATTGTATTTTTCATATTAATTTCTTCGAGTTATGGAAGACAAAATTACAAAAAAATTCGAATAATATTAGAATAATTAAACTTATACACAGTAATTTATATATAATTATATTATGACTTTTTAAGTAAAATATAAGCCGATAGTTAGATAAGGATCGTAAAAAAGAATTAAAATAATTGAAAAGCGATCCTTTTCGCAAGAAATAGAGCGTTTACGAAGAACTAGACCTTATTTTTAGTAAAAGGATGGAAACTTTGTTTCTGACAGTAGAGTTAGTAAAGCTGTATGAAAACTATACTTCCTATATTTAAAATGTAATTTAAAGAAGATGTATATGACTCCACATCAATCAGCCATCTATTCATCTACCATCGTTTACTTCCATTCATTTAAAACATGTAGTCTGGTTCCTCTTAACGCTGAACCGTCGTCATTGATTTTGTTGATGAGGTGTATTAGAAAGAGTTGTTATACTCAACCTAGATGGTCTAGGTTCAATTTCTAATGATCTAGTATACAGTTCATCTTCATTCATTAAGAAAGATGTATCCAATAGGTAATTAGCTACCCTTGATTGAAAATCTATTTTGTACGGCGTTTGTTGAAATCGACGGATTTCCTGAACTACGTGAGCAATCTAAACATGAACACAAATATTCCTAATATTGAATGTTAAGTTATACAAATTAATTTTATTATCAATAATTATTTGAATATGATTTTTAAGAATTAATATGTATTAGTCATATTGGTTTAATTTCGACTGTTAAGACATTTTATGATAAATACTTGTTTTACTAAATAATAATAAACAATAATCATTAAGAAGTTATTAACAATAATTATTTGAGTGTAAATTACTAGTTGAGTACAAGCTGTACAGTTACATAATGCAATTAGGAATATTAATTCTAATTAAGTGTTACATATAATCAAGCTCTACATACAATAGTCCCCTGTTATTTACTATTTAACTTTAAATAAATTTTATAGTATTTAAGAAGTTTAATTAATTAGAATTAATTTTGGGAAATCATTTATTTATAATTTTAAACTATTTATATAACTAAGTTAAATATAAAAATTTTCTTAAACAGTTATGTTTTGAACACCAATAAAACCCTTTAGTTTATCATATTCGAAATATTATTTATTTTTTTAAATGATTTTTAAATAACTAACTTATTAGATATTGACAGTGAAGTTAATAAAATAAATACTATTTTAAAATATTAAAATCTTACCATGCGTAGTTTTGAAAAGTTCAACAAACCATCCTCCGCCAAGCTGGGTGTTCCTTCTTCTAAAAACGATAAGTCACTTAAGTACATCCCTAGGTAAGGTATACACGGTGGATCGCATCTGTGTAAAGCTTCTCGGAGGTTTCTGAACCTTCCGTCAGATGACACAATTATTTGCAACTTTTGAACTGATTGTTTTGTCTAATATAAAGAAATAGACACAGTTATATCAATTCTAGTTGTCGGTTAAAAATTGAGTAAAATATAAATGAGTGGTATTTATTTATTTATTAAAATAAATTCAAAATTCTTCATTTTTAGTGAAATTTTCTTGGTATAATATTAATAAAATATTTCAAATTAGTATTAAATTCGAATAATTTTTAAAACGAAATTAATGAATATTTTGTTTAGGGTGATATTTGATTATGTTTTTCTATGGTACTTACAGCTTTTGAAACTTTTTCCCATGTTTTTTTTAGACGAAATACAGAGCTGTTTGTGAATGCGGAGCATATTTGAAGAACACCATTAAAATTATGTAAGCATTTAGATATATCAGCTACCGCTGCCCATTTTTCAATAGTTACAACTCTAGCAGCTATATTGTTCTTTCGCATTATTTCTGAAGCAACCAACTGTGATATTTCATTAAACCTTTTGGTCATGAGAATTATATGTGGAGCTTTTATGTTTTTATCATCTTTCATCCATGCGCGTCCGAAAAATTCCCTAAAAAGGTAATATATGTATGATGATAAACTTAATACTTAATGATATAATATTTACTGGCTTTGAATTCTTATGAATATTTGATGATCAATGTATGTCATTTGCTCAGCTATTTCTAAAGCTGATAAAGTATCAATATTCTCTATGCTCGGTATCTAAAAATTAACATGATTTTAGAGCAATTTCAATTAATAAAATTTTATTTACAAAAAATCCTACTAGTAGTTCCTGCTGTAAGATTTTTTCAACACTTTTTTTTTTAGAAGATAAATATGTTCAAAATAAGAAATACACAGTTTTTAATTAACTATTATTTTAGCTAAATTAGATAGAAAAATCATAAGAAGAAGTCTTAGTTTTTATAAATGCACTCAAGCCAGCACTATAACAATTTATAGAAATGATTAGTAATGTAATTAAAGTTTACGAGTTTATTTTTAAACAACTTTTTCTTCGCTTGTTAAAAATACTATTTTCAGCAAAAAAAAATCTCAAGATATAAAATAATTAATAACACACTGTAATAATTTAATGATTATATTTACCTGAGTTGGGATGAGTAACATATTTAGATCTATAATATTTTTTTTTGTTTCATCCATTGTAAGCAAGCGAAGTAACTGTCCAGCTATTTTATGTTCAGCTGGTAAAAGATTTGGGCTGAAGAGTATGTCCTCTAAAAAATCTATTGTCATATTTTTGAGGCGTGGTTCATTTTCAAAGTCCTTAAAATGAAGTGCCAAATTATGAAAAATTATGCTTAATATTTATTCTGTTTATATACTTGTGGATGCTTTGATATCCAATGCTTTAAAACGTTTAAGACTCTCATTGTTGCTGCCGTTGACATAACTGATTCTTTTCTTTTTCTTTCTGCTGAACAACACTTTTGATCATGTAAAGGAGATAGTTCTCGAGGGTTACTTGAAGCTGATGTAGCAATTGCAAAAGCAGCAGCTGCAGTGGACGTACTGCTCCTTTGAATAAAAGAAGAGTTTACGTCAATGTTACAGTTAATGGATAAACTGTAATTTTCTGCCTGGTAAAAGGCAACTGTTGAACTTCAATCTGATTTTAATCGGTATGTTTTAAGTTTTATTTTAGCTGTTAAAAACTTCTTAGAATCGAATAAGTATATTAAATAATAATATTTACAATAAAAAAGTAATTTGAAATGATTATGTGCATGAACATTAATATGCAGTAAAAAATGGTCATTCGAATTTATTTTTAGATATATTATCATAATACTTGGAAAACTATTGTATATAACACGTGCACGGAAACATTCCTAGGGGTCGTAGGTGTTTTCTATTTTGTTAAAACAAACTAACTATAGTAATATAATATGTTAAAATTGTTATAAAATATGAACTCTACTTTTAGTTGTTAGAAATGAGATTCAAGTTTGCTTTGCGTGGCTAAAGTTAAATAGTTTTAATACCTGCGGGACCAACAGGAGTTAACTAAATATATGAATAGCTCTAAAACTGTCTATTCATCACTACTGTAAGGGTGTGTATCAAACATATCAGCTAACTGCTAGAAACCATGCATTTGATTATTTATATATTTTTCTTTTTCAATATTATTATCTAAAAGAATTAAAGATCCTGTTGATAATTTTTGGTTTTGGTGAATTAAACCAAATGATTTTAAAAGTGTCGGAGAGCAAAAATAACACGATATTAGCTTTAAGATACCAAAGAGTAGCAAAATAACTAGCCTGCAAATAGGTTTCATGCAGAAATCGAAATCAAAAATAAAAGTGTATCAAAAACCCCTTTTGTTTGCTGATTTCAAATGTCAGACCTTCTCTCACATTGTGCATGTTCGTAGCACTTACCCAAATTCCGGCCTTCCTGTTCTGAACACAAAAATAAAAAAAATAACGTGTAAAACAAATTATAACTGTTTTACTTCGGGGTTTCATATTAATTGAGCGCAGGACCTTTTTATAACTCCTCATAAAAATTAATTTTTTTTTGAGACATTTACCTAAATAGTAAGTTGGTCCCACGCTTATCAATTATGAAATATACGCTTAATAATAACACTAAATTATTATTATTTTAATTTGATAAAAATACAGTTACCTTCTTTTCGATTGCCTAGATGATGTAATAACAACTCCAGCCCTACTTGTTAATAGTGGGCTATCATGTTGCATACTAGTTCTTTGTGATATACTACTACTATAACATCCATCTGCATCAGCTGTACAAGCAAATGATTTTCTTCTAGAGAAGTACTGTATTTAAACGAATTTTTTATTGATAATTTTGGGTAAATTGAGTGTAATTATTTTATTGAATATCAAAAAAATAATACCTGTGCTATACTAGAATTTACTAACGATGCTGATCTTGATGACGACGCGCTATGAATATTACTTAACCATTCGTTCTCGTCTGTGTTACCTGTCTCATCATCATACACTCCCAAACTCTTTTTTCTTCTAAACTGAGTACTTTCGTGAGTAAACCAACTTCTTCTGCGTGGCTGTGGAGTATAAAAGTGTTTTTCCGGATGAAATCTATATAATAAGATTTATTAAATGAAAGTTTAAATTAACCAAGTAATTATTACTTTTCCACGAACTCTTTGGCTGCATCAGTAATAATTGTTCCAATTTTGATAGCATGTCCATGATGAATAGGAAATCCGTGTAGTTTTGAAGGCGATTGAACTTTTCGTTCGGGTGGTGATACTTTAGATGAACTAAAAGTAGTAGTTTCATTAGAACTTCTATCCAAATTTGAAGTAGCTGCTACTAACGTCGAGCTACTGTTATTACTATTATTACTACAAGGAGAAACTGCAGTAACAGTTTGTTGGTTATCTATAATATTTAAAAAGTAAAAATTTCTTAATAATAAAAATATTACTTAACATAAATTATTTGATTTACTAACCTCCTGTTAAAGTTTCATTACTGGAAGATGATGTTGCTTTGACCATAGTAGGTGGTGCTAAATGACAGGTATCAGCAGTGTCTTCAATTCTTATACTGACTTTTCTTCTGGGAGTAGTTTGTTGGTATAAACTAGTAGTAGAACTATACTCCTCAGACATCATCTTTACTTTTCTCTCTTCTTCTTCAACTACAATAAAATGAATTTATTCAAAAGATTTAACAATTTTATTTTATAATTCAACATATTAAAACTTCTAATGTATATTTAACTATCAGTATTACGTTTACGAAAACTATATTTTCTTCCTGTTCTCTGTCCCTGTTGATAATCGACACTACTGCTTCGATCTCTTTCACTAATTTCTGAACAGTAACCTGGAACATCATAAAAATTAGTGTTAAAAAGGTCAATGCCGTAGAACGCCCATATGTTTTACATATGAGCGTTTTAAAAAATTGGATACCAGATACAGAACTGGCCGCACTAGTCCTTCGAGGAGACGAAATTACACTAGATCTTCTTCGCTCTCTTTCTCCAGTCGTTAAATGATGACTGTCATGAGTTTCTCCCTTATCCACCGACCTACATTATGACATAACATTTTCTTTAGGAAATTATTAAAAAGTTTATTAAATTATTTATTCAGACTTACAAACTACTTGGTTGGCAGCTGGTATCATAAATATCGACTTCATTATTGTAAAACACTTTTTTTAAAGCTTCCAAAATTGTGACTCCATCGGTAAAGACTCTATAAGTCAATAAAAATGTATTAAGAAAATCTATAGACAGAAATCTCAAGTCCACTAATCTTGATATTAGTTTTTCTTTTGTTGCGTGATGAATTCGTGGTATCTATTAACAAAGTAAGATAAAATTGTATTTAAGTCACACGTCTGGGCACTGTTAACATTGCTCACCCTGCAGGAGTTATAATATTTACTAAATTTTATGTCTTTGTCGTCTTTAAAAAGTTTTGGGTCATTACGCATTGAATGGGGCATCGTAACTGAAGACGTATCTGACATAGAATTTCGAAGCATTGCGTCAAATCTCAGATTTTCAATACACTGTTTTTTATTTAAAAAAAAAATTATTTTAAAATCTGCAAAAAAATATCAAAAAAAACTACTAACCTGGCTGATATCACTGACCCAAGCTGTTTTTTCTTGCAATGAAGGTGCATATAAATGAACAGTGAGTGGGGTAGTAGACTTGCAATCGATGTATAATTGAAAATCGTAGTTTTGAGGCTTAGGACTGGGACTTGGACTTGGACTTGAAGAATATTTTAAACCTTCACAATCACTGTTTTCGATATCACTTGAATGACTAGTTCCAGCTGAATCATCAGCAGCTATCGCAGCAAAAATAGCAATTATTTTTACTGTGTTGTAATATTTTAATAATGAAATAGTATTAAACATACCTTCGTTATTGCTTTCTTGAGTTTCAATTTCACCTTGATTATTGTCATCTTCTTTTTCATTAGGATCCTCAATTAATCGACATTCAGCTAATGATATTTTGCCGACTTCTGGCGCTAAATGCAATTTACCACTTGTTGTTCTATATTAAAATTTAGTAAATTAATTAATTTTAAATTGCATAAATAATGTTTTATTTGCCTTGTAGTAATTATCATATGATTTGTAAACAGAAAACATTGCCTGATCGCTTCTTTTTCTGATTTAAAATGCGGAATCCTGCTTTTTTTTCTTGTTGTTGGAATCTGCACTAATGTACCCTGTCTAACAAATATTTGATTGACATCTAGTAGTATATCACAGCCTTCAATAATCATTCTTTCAATAGAAAGATTTTTTCTCAAATTTTCGGTTTCGCTAACTTCATCATGAATTTGTCTACTTAAATCTTCTAATTTTTGACAAGCCATTTGCAAACTTTTTCGTTCGACATGATCATGTGGTGTATGAGCCAAAATCTCATGAAGAGTTATTATGTATCTAGGAATCTGTAAAAAATAAATATTATTAAAATAAAAGATGTAACTTTAATAAAATTGACTCATTAACTTTGTTTATTTATTATTCTTTTTAATAAAATACCTTAAAATATGAAGTATTTGATTTATTCTTGTGTTACCAAAATACCTCAAAAGAGTGGTATTTCTCAGTAAAAACGTAATACCTTAAACTCAATATATAAACGCCAAAGTGTAGATTGAATTGTTTATTTAAAATAATTTAAATTGTTTATTTAGATAATAAGCAAATCAATTTTTTTATCATTTATGAAAATTTTTAGGACTATAAATATAATCTGTATAACTTTTTAATATAAAATAGAATGAAGTAGCATATATAAGGTGATCTAAATCGGGTAAGACACTCATTATCTCAGAAAATATAGAGAATTTTAAATTTTATTATAAAGAAAAAATATCAAGTTCAAAAAACTCTACTGTTATATGTAGTCAAACCATTATTTTTTTCGCCCCTTCAAGGATAAAAACCCTTATTTATAATTTTCTTTAATGGGAACCCTTATTTTTAACTTTATAATATGATAGACAAAAAAAATTACAAACAATTTTGTTCTTATAATTTTTTTTATCCGATTAACCGTTCGTCCGTTACAGCTTGTTAAAGTTAAGTGATTTTAGGCCAAATTTCTATTGTCATTTTACTGTATTAAATACAGAAGTCATTATTTTTATTTGCTGTTGCATAAACCAAATTTAATTGATCAAGTTATGATAGTTAAATTAGCTATAAAAATTTACTACGCACTAAATGAGTGATAACAATAATAGATTCAAACCGGGTTTTCGGTGTATTATTAATAGCTAAGTCTATGGTTTTGTAAAACTAAAGAATCTAAAAATAATACCGGTTGCACTGCCACCGATATTATCGGTTATTTATAATAATAAATGACAATATTTTTTCTGGAAGTCAAAATCTTTAAACAATTATAAAACATAATCGGTTGTTCGTATAAAAAAAATTATAAGAACAAAATGGTTTGTAATTTTTTTTTCTATCATATTATCAAATCAAAAATAGTGAATCCCATTTAAAAAAATTATAAATTAACATTTTTTCCCTGAAGGGATAAAAAAATTTTTATTAACTTCATATTATTGTAGAGTTTTATAAACTTAATAATTTTTCTTTTTACAAAAATTTTAAACTATCAACAGTTTCTGAGAAAATAAGTGTCTTACCAGATTTCGATCACCCTGTATATATATATATATATATATATTTGAAAACTTACGTATTTTCTATTGTGATGGATGAAATTACTAGAGAAATACAAGGAGAGGTGCCGTGGTACATGTTGTTTGCTGACGATATAGTGTTAATAGGAGAAAATGGGGAGGAAATTAATCAAAAGCTAGAGGCGTGAAGATCAGCTCTTGAAGAAAAGGGTTTAAGAATAAGTAAGAGTAAGATAGAGTGTATAGAATACGAGTTTGACAAAGGAGAATACGAGGTAGGTGAAATCAGGAGATCAGTGACAATAGACGAGAACGTAATTGCATTGGTGGAAAGTTTTAAGTATTTAGGGCCAGTTGTGCAAAAGAGTGATGATATTAACGAGAATGTAAGGCACAGGATTAAGTGCGCGTGGTTTAAGTGGAGAGAAGCGTCTGGTGTCTTATACGATAAAAGAATTGCTATGAGGCTGAAAAGTAAATTCTACAAGACTGTAGTGAGACCAGATATCATGTATGGTTCAGAGTGTTGGGCGGTTGATAAGAAAGTAGAGCAGAGAATGAGTGTTGCAGAGATGAGAATGCTTAGATGGATGAGTGAAGTGATAGAAAATATAGGATAAGAAATGGGCATATAAGAGGGAGTATAGATGAAGCGTCAATTGTGAATAAAATGAGAAAAAATAGTCTTAGATGGTTTAGTCATGTTATGAGGATAGAAGAATCGGAATCTGTAAGAATAGTTATAGAAATGAATGTTGAAAGAAGAAGAGGTAGAGGAAGACCAAAAAAGCTGAAGCGAGTGTAGATGATGTGGGAGATCGTGTCAAGTGGAAGTATAAGATAAGGGTGGCCGACCCCAAGTAGTTTGAATTAAGTCGAGGAAGAAGAAGAAGATATTTGAAAACTTACTTGATGCATTGGCACTATTAAAAAATTTTCTAGTGATCGAGCATGACATGCTGGCTTATTTTCTAGACGTTCTAAAAGATTAACAAATGCAGGATTCTGTTTACATTCTGTTAACACTTGTAAACTATAATGATGGTTTCTAACGTATTCTTGATAGATTGTCAGCATAGGCAGTAGTATGTCAAAGAGATCACCTACAAAAATTTTTATCTTATATTTTAAATAAATTAAATGAATACTTCCTAACTATTAAAAATATTATCGCTTATAAATATTTATTCCTAATTTTCCTTTAAATAATAACAAATATTAGAATTTAAATTAACTATTTTACTACATTATTTTAAGTTTTCTATTTCATTTCTCATCATAATTAAAGTTTATCTGTAATACGTAATTATAAAATATAAATTATATGAATTACAAAAATGTTTAAAAATCGAACTAAGATAAATATTTGGGATTCGTCAAAGTAAAAAAATAATTCTTCGAAACTTACTTAAAATTAATGTTGGCCAGTTTTCCATTCTGGTCGTCAGTCCTTTGTAAAATATTTGATGTAAAAATAATACAGTCTCACTGTTCAAGAAAATAGAACTGATATCTTCATGAGTACATGGTGGTTTTTTCGAGCTAGCTGCCATACGCAAAGGTCGCAGAAAGCATGTTACTAATACTTCTAGTTGACCAACGTATTCTTCTTCAGCTTCTACCATTCGAAAAACAAGACTGTAATAGTAAAATATATAAATTACAAACTTAATCAGATATCTATTTTAGTTTCGATGCGAAGCTGAGAAGGTATTGCTTTTACTATGATATGTTTTGTTTGTTTTTTTTTGTGTCTGTTACCACATTTTCTCAGCACTCACCGAACGGATTTCTTTCAACGATACGTCAAAAGATCACAAATAGTATCTAGTCGAAGACATTACCCTTAAAAATTGAACAAATTTCCGTCGTTCCCCGTAAATGGAGGAAACCTCCAAAAAAATTACAAATTTAAAAATCGTTAATTTTCGAAATTTTTTCAATTTTGTTTACTAAAAACTGCCGTAACTTTTTCAAAAATGAAGATATCAATATAATTTTTTTTTT